ATTCTGTTTTGTTGCTAGAACATTTCTGATCTTTTGTGGAGTTCTCTTTCAGGACTTTAATAAAAGCCAAATCTTGGATACCTGTTCCCCATGCAGAAACCTTAGCAGGGAGCACAGACAAAGAGAATGGTAGGGAGCCACTCTGTCAGCATGTCCTTTGGAGCCTGTGCTCAGATCGGGCAGCTTGTACCAGTTTTTTGATTGACCCCATGACAGTTGAGAATTGCACTAGCCACAAGCAGATTGCACCCTGCTTCGGGAATTTCACATTCATCACACCTCCAGCATGAACAGCTAGCTTGTAGACTGTTTCAATTAGGAGAGACAAATCTCTCCCCCCAATGCCTTTTTCTGAAATCTTTTGCCTCTGTGTTGATGTAAACCTCACTAGCAGCGCCAAGAGAAATGCATGTCCCCAGCACAGGGCTTAGGAGAGCACATGGTCCAGTTTTGAGTCATTCAGATGATTCCAAAGGCCAGCTACTCCCCTGGCCAGTGCAGGTTTCCAAGCTGAATGTCCCATGGAATTAGCCGACCAGCAGGATTTCACTCCCCAAGAATTACCTCAAAAGGGGAGCTGAAGGAATCCCCAATGATGAAAGGAAACTGTGCAGGGAGACTTTTTCAACTGTTGTTGAAGGAAACTCTTTGTGGATTATGGGAAAAAGAGAGAGAGAAACGTAAAATCTCCATGATGGTTTGTAAGTGGGGCAAAGAAGTTGATTCTCTGTAGAGAGGACCGAGTCATACAGAGCGTGCTGAGGAATGGTGAGACATTGGTCTCACGATGAGACAATGGTGAAGCGGAGGAAGGCATGTTGGTGTTTGTTATTTCACCCAGAGCTTTTTGTCTCTTTGCTACCCAGAGGAGAGAACAGCTTATTTTTTTAAAAAAATCCTGAGTCTTCACAACAGAAAACCTATGTGCCTGTTCACATGACTGCCGAGGTCCTGGCAGGGGGTAACGAGCCAGACCAGTGCCTACTGGTAGGATCCCAAAGCAGCACTGCTGGTCACACTGCAGGCAGGGACCAGGGCACTCAGCATCTCTTCACACCTCTGTCTGGCAGAAGATACCGTTGCAGGCACTGCCCGCAGTCTCCTGTGTCAAGACTTTGGTCATCTGCAGGGAATGGAACATTTGACACTGTTACCCTGAGAGATGAATCAGCAACAAGTTGTCAAGCTTTTATTTTTAATTAAACTTGACAAGACGTTTGCATGCAACTTACCTCAATTTGCACCAGAACTCATCTCTCTTTGCTCACCTCATCCTTTCTTTTGAGTTAAACCTCAGTCACTTAGTCATGCCTAAAATTACACTTTTGTAACCATGATGTAATATTCCCACATGCCAGAGTACTAGAAAAATAGTATCAATATTTAAGTTTGCCTCCCTTCTCTTTTTCTCCCCGCTCTAACAACTAGCCAATGCTCCTTCCCTACCTGGTAAAAATTTGGCAGAGTCTTTACAGCTCCGTGGGCTGGAAGAAGTAACCCCACAAGACGTTGCACCAGAAACTCAAAATGTGCAGCAAGGCTGGCTTCAGGTAAATGAATAAGAAAAAAAAAAAAAAAAAAAAAGAAAGAAAACCCCAATCTCAATAAAACCAACCAAAGCAACAATGAAACTTGCCAGATCAAATAGAATGAATTCACAGGATTTGAGTGGCTTCAGACATATCGATTCTTCTATTCTTACTCAGGCTCTCTCTTCTTCCTGGGAGGGCTACAGAAAGAGTCATATATATATATAACACATTTCAACAGTGACAGTTCCACTTAACTACAACAACTAAGCTGTGAGGTTCCTGAGCCAAGATGTGTATCTGAGCAAGCCTGCGGAGAGACAGTCCACACTGTGACCGTTTCTCGTCTCCAATATCCTGATGCCTCAGCACATTGTGGGGATCAGCTGGAGATCAGCAACTGCTCCTTCTTTTGCATCACCAGTGCCATTCAGGCCTTTGCTGTGCACCAGTCACCTTCCTCCCCATCATGAGTGATCACGGTCTGGTAGAGAGTTGGGACACATGCAAATAATATGCAGTATTGATATGTGGGATGCTAGCCATAGCTATCTGGGGGGATATTTCTCCCTCTCTGACCAAAATTTCTCTGTTGGGGAAAGCAGAGCTGCGGCAGGCACTGGCAGGGCTGTTTGCCAGCACACCACCTCCCATCTCCATGGATCTGTGAGAAACAGCACCCACTGTGCAGCAGCACGCATCACACACCAGCCCTGCTCATCTTGCCTCATCCTCTGCTTATACTCTCTTAGGGCTTACTGGGTGTCCCCTGGCTTCCACTGCACTTTTAATGTCCTTTCTATAATGCCATATTAGGCATAATGCCTATAAAGATTCATTCTGCCAGAGTGATTACTGCACCTACTAAGCCTACTCAAGGTTTTTAAGACACTAGCATGCTGCCCTCCCCTTTCCTCTACCAGGGCAGGTAAATAGGATGCAGCATCTGATACGCATTGACCACAAAAGAGACCATATCTCTATCAAGCAGCTCACTGTGCTCGGCCACACAGCAGCACAAATATATCTTTGTCATGCAGAGCCCCGATTTAGCCAGCTGCATACTCAGACCCACAGGCATCTTCTAGAAAATGTTCAACTGATAGGAGAACAGCCTGTGTGCCTGCAACATGCCTGCTGGCTGGATCACGTAGGAGAGCATGCCTGTGCCTCAGAAGAAAGGATGTGAACCCCGGAAGATGCCCAGGCAGAGGGAGCAGACCAGAAACATCACCTCAGACGATCCAGGCTTGTCACTTCTTGTCAGCCATGGAAGGCAGAGAAAAGTCTCTCTGGAGCCCTGTTAAACAGTGCCCAAACCCTGGGCTACTTTCACACGTGGCACAGGCTGCTCCATCAGGAGGGAGGACGTCAGCTCAGACCACTGCAATGAAGAAACATGACCTGCAGGGAAGAGTCACTTATTTTCTTCAAGACAGAAAACAAACAAACATCACAATCACCAGCACTGCTGAGGGCCTGGGATATCCTTTCTAGTGCAGATACCCTTCCCTTGCTGGGAAGGGAACAAAATACTTGATAATTTGAATATTTTTATGAAATAATTTTAAATATAGTCCAAGAGCTGTTAATAATGTCAGCATTAAATATTCATTAAGTTTTTAATGGCAACAATAAGGAAGTATTTCACTGAATGAACAGCTCATTAGCTAGATAAACAGATGAATTGAATAAAGCCATTGTGTAATGAAGCAGTCTATGAATTGACTCTGCGTGGTTTGAAATCATATAAGCCTGTCATGACCTTACTTTGAATCTTTAGTCAGAGCCCACAAATTAAGTAATGGGTTTGTTCAGGGCAGTTTAGAGTGATATTTGAGGAAGGGATCACAACGCCGAAACACGTCTCTTACTGGCAGCCATGCTGCTGACTCAACACAGTCACAGCCACTCTGACTCAGGAGCAAGCCTGGCATCACCTAGCTTTATCCTGCAAGGGTAAGCCAGCCCTGTTCACCTCTGGAGAACTCAGTACTCTTTATAACAAGACCGTCCACCCCCCTGTACTACTGGCTCCAAAACGTGCAGGTCTACGCTGCCTTTAGCAATTTGAGATAAAAAGATTAACAGATCAGATCCCGGCCCCCTCCTGATGTGCAGAAATAGCAACTGCTGCATCCTGTCCCAGAGCTGACTACTTCAGTAATCTAGATGAGTTACTGCGTGCTGACTTATAGAAACCTTTGGGAGCTTTCCAGCCCTTCACCAATAGAGCACTAGCAGAGCACGTAACCTCAGCATGAGTTTCCTCTGGTCACCGAATGCCCTGTCTCTCTGAGCTGCTCACCAGTAAAGAAAGGAAGCATGAAACGTACTCCGCTAGTTTTGCTACAGAAATAGCTGCGAGCTTGCAGGCATGCATACACACAACCTCGCTCTCCCCACGTGGATGTCTGGGCACTAGGAAAACAGCACAGCACAAACAGCCATCAGAGGAGGATAGCAACTTCCAGCCTTTCCGAGGAGGGTCTGGACCCAGCACCTCCATCCCTGCACTACGTGGTTTGCCTCTCTGATACTAGGGGGGACTGGAGGACAATCAGAAAGCATCAGTCAAGCAAAAAGGTCCCTAAACTTTGATTTTTCAAGGCATTTCCATCCTGAGAAATGCAGTGGAAATATCAGAGCACAGCAACAGCTGTCCGAGCAGAGAGGTGCGGTGTTCACACAGGTAAACAGTCCACTTTTAAGTTTTGAAGAATTAGGTTTCCCTGAAACAAGCCACAGGCCACACACACCACTGAGCTGAGAGCAGCACTGTGGAAAAGGAAATAAATGCTGCAGGCTGCTAAAGAGCCACTGTTCACTGTGACCAACATCAGAGCTGCAAGAAGGCTGGAACACATGCAAAGATGGTGATGAACCACAGCTTTTGGGTACTGCCTGGTGATAACGTGGCAGACAGGCCCAGGGTTAACCCTTGCAAGGGAAATGCTCCACAGACCAGATGCTATAGTAAGCAAACAGGGCTTTTTTTTTTTTTTAAATAATAAAAATAAAAAACAAACACCACCAAAGCACCCCTTCCTTTCCTTGCCCTTCAGACTGCTACGTGGGAAGTGCTGCTGGGGCCGGAGGACACACAGAGGAGCAAGGTGCCTTTGGGATGGCAGCGCTTCTGCTCAAGTTTCTGCCTCCACTTAAGCTCAAGCCTGTGTTTTAAGATAAGTCCCTTTCCTGATGGCCAAACTGGGCTTGGCCTGCCTAGCTCATGCTGCCCACACGACACCTCCCCAGTGCCCAAATCCTGATGTTTCAATACAGGAGTCCCAAAGCTCCGTGGCAGGGACCCTGGGCCCTACCAAACAGGTGACAAAGTGCGGTCAGACTCCCAGATTTCTGCCATACTACTGGAGGAGGAGCAAGGTGCTGGCCCCTGATCACACAGACCTTCAGGGCTTTGGCTGTTGCAGAAGCCTGCTGCCCCAAGGAAGGAGAGGACAGTGCCACTTATTAGAAAAATATACCTTTATTTACCATCTGTGTTTTGCTCAGGAGAGAATATCCTGCGATAAGGGGGCCAGCCAAAGCCATGCCATTGCTGGTGGCCAGCACACCCCCACCTGCACCATGCAGGGGGTGGCAGGACCAGGTCTCCATAGGGGACCCTGATGTGTCGAAAGGGTGGGAAGGGGGTTGGAGATACTGCTTTTATCTTGGGCCCCACTGTTCTCCATTGCTGTGGTGTTCGGGTCCTGTCAGCAGAGCACATGGCCTCCCCACCAGTCCCACCCATCACTGCAAGGTCATGGTTTCACTCCAGGATTGGGGATCTCCCCCTCATGGCACCAGCTGCTTCTGGCGCATTCATTGCAAGGCAGTCAGGATGAGTTAAATAAATGGTTTGGGGGGACATTTTGCGTGGTGGGAACAGTCGATAACTTAACGCTAAATGAACATAGAATGCATAACGAGCCAGCTAGCAGGCATGTGCCTGTTGTACAGCAGTCAGTGCCAAGTGCCCGGGCAGGGTGGCCAGCCATGGCTCGGGGTGGGCAGTTGAAGCCTCCACACTACTCATTCCCACACCACTGCCTGCAGTGTAGTGTGGCACAGCCCAGGCACCCACAGCCCTGGCTCAAGGGGCCTCCAACACCCACCGGCTGTCCCCGCATGCCTGCTGGCCAAAGCTCACCAGGGCTATGACACCACACGGGGCCACCGACACCAGCATATTCTCAGGTAGCAAGTAGTGGATCTTCAGCACACTACGTTTTCAGTTTGTTGGTCTTTATGAAGGGAGTAAATGTGCAATTCTCTTCAGGTCGATGCCGTATAGCCTCAGTGCTTCCCAGAGATTTCAGGCCTTTACCAGTTGTTTGAGCCTCTCACACTGAAGACCAAACATTGTTTCTTGGTGGGCTTCAAGGTGCGAGATCTTGGCTTGGCCACTGCCGCTCTGATAACACTCACCCCTCATACACCAGAGTGCGTGGCGAGGGCCGCCAGCTGTGCTCCAACAGCCCCATTCAAAGCTTAAATAAGCCAAAGAATGTCTTGGATTCCTCAAAATTAACCAGAGCAATTTTGGAGACGTTGACGTACAAACTGTCCATCTTCCTGAGCTTGAATAAAGCCCCCAGGTAGCTTTTCCGGGCCCATGTTTTCTGACTCATACAGTAGTTGATGCCTTTGTCCTCCATCAGCACGTGGCTGCCTGGCAAGGCTGGGTTTTTCTTGTAGACGACATGAGTCAACACCTGGCCGCTGCAGACACTGCCCCGGAAGAGCACGTTGGAGTACACAAAGTACAGGCCGGTCTCATTGATGACGAGGCCCTGATCGCGGTACTCGACGCCATTGGTGAAGGCATGGCCAGAGATGGGTTCCCACTCCAGAGGGAGGTCCCGCTGGGCCGGGTTCCCTGGAAGCAAAAACAAGAAAAAAAGTGTGGTAAGTACAAGCAGTTGTGTGGGTTTTTTTCCTCAAGTCATGCCCCATGTCACAACAAGTCAAATATTCTCCAAGCCCTTGCGGGTAGCATGGAAAGTCTGCCCTGACCTCACGCTGGTGGGAGCTCTCACCCTTTGTCTCCTCAACGCCAGCCACTTGTGACAGCCTTTTGCCCTGCACACCCCAGATGCAAATCAAAAAAAAAAAACAAACCAAAAAAGAGCCCCCACTGAAAAACCTAAATGAGGGAAGAGATTTTAGCTGGGGAGTAACTTCCCACTGTCAGAGCACACGTTACCAAAAGAAAGTAGGAAAGCCAGTGTGAGGTGGGGTCCTCACAGCTATGACTGTGCCACTGTCTCACCCCAGCCACATCTGCCCTATCCCCTGCTCCCACATCTTGCTGGTCGCTCAGCACATACCTGTTAAGTGTGCTGCCTTCGTCACTTCCTTTCCCATCAACTGCTCCTTCTGCCCTGCACAAAAATAGGGAAGTCGTTAGCCCTATGCTTCATGGAGAAGCCAGCCCAGAGAGCAGAAGGGAGCCAGCAACAAAGCTGAAACGGGGCAGATTCCGAGCATCACAGGGCACATAAGCACCACGGCTTATCGCAGTGAGGCAGAGCGGTGCTTGGGCAAACGCTGCAGTGCAAGAGGAGGACAAATCGCAGCGAAGGATCTAGACATGATCAAAAGCAAGGGGAAAGAGCAAGGAGAGCTTTCATCTTAAAGTGTCTCAGTTGGGGAGCTCAAGCAGAGGCCTCTCTCTCTGGGTGTAGGAGAGGGACAGTAGTGCCCCTTTGCCCAGCCTCTCTGGCCCATGCCAAGGTGACAGCTCGTGTCCTGTCACACAGGAGCCTGCTCTGTGGCCGCCCTCCAGCCCAGCACCGCCAAGGTGCCAGAAATAGCACTTTTAGCCCCATCGCAGTGGACTTCTGTTTGCTGAGTACCAATGCTGCTTGCAACTAGATCAGAGAAGACACTTGAGACCTCCTGCAAGCCATCCTGCCAGCCAGCCAGATCTTGTCCTCAGAGGCAGAGCACAGCTGGGAAAAATTCTGCCTTCCCTGGAGGCCTTGGTTCTCCTTGGAGAGATGAGCCAGTTACAGTCACTTGGATCCCATCGCACTCCATCCTTCCCCTTCTTAGCATCTACTTCCAAGTATCATGTTCTCGAGTTTTAAAATCAGCCTTTTCTTTCCTCAAGCCAATTAAAATTTTCCTCTCCTCTTCCCTTCTCCTTCACACTATTTCCATGGCTTTATTTATTTATCCATCCCCCTCAAAAAATTCAGGGCTACTACTTATGACTTATGTTCAGCCATCGCTAAAGTAGCCTGTAATCAGAGCACTGGGCACCCAGTTAAAATAAGAACCAACCCCCTTCCCCTAAGCAATAGATGACAAAAATTTATTGATATGGGAGTTGATGGGAACCAGGACTGCCCTTTCCAGAGAATTTTACTATTTCCACATTTGTTTTCATTCAGTATCAGGACAAACTTGAAAATAAATTAACTTTCCTACTAACCAAAATCCTCAAGGGAAAATATAAACTTTCAGCTCTCTTGACAATTTTTCCTAGATCTGAAAAGATTTTCTGACTTGGCCATCTTTAAAAAGGTATATCCTCACTGATAACATTAACATGGAATGTAAAAGTAAAATAATAGTTTGGAAGTTCAAAATATGGTTTTTAATTTGTTATATTCAGATTGAAATTGTTTTTTTCATAAAACTCAGAAAAATTAGCAGGTTCTTGTTGAAAGTTTCAGTTTCACTGAAATGACATTTATAAAAGAAAAAAAAAAACCAAGAACACACACACATATATTCAGGCTCTTCTCAACTAGCTCTGGCTGCAGTGTGACTTTGTATCAAAAGAAATTAGGAAAAAAATACGTTGGGCTCTTAAAGGTGGGAGTGAATCCCCCACCCCCAGAGAAAATGAAACCTTCTGCATCCTCTCAAAATCTTAAAAGATTAAGGAGAGAAAGGAGTAACACATGCAGTGCCCTTCCCCATTCTCCTTCTGTTCTTGTTGTTGCTACACGATAGGATAGTCAGAAACTCACTTTTAGAGCAGAGTACCCCCAGTACCGTTGCCCCACTGGGCCTGGGGAGTCCCAAGGCAGAGGCACACTGTCCCAGGAACCTGTGGCTGACACCTCTAAGCACTCCAGCAGGCAGGTGCAGGACCCCATCCCCACCCCCTAAAGATAAAGCTCTTTTTCCAGCCAAGCAAGTGATATCAGCCCTTTAAGAGCACTGAGCTGCAGTCCTGCCTTTGCCCCCGATGAGGAGATGGAAGAGTTTGACAGTAGCATTCACACACACTAACGCAGAGGAGTTCCTCCTCTATGTACATCAGCTCACCTATGAGTTTCTCCAAAGCTGGAGGGATGTGTTCAGTGCTGGCAGACTGTCAAAAAAGAGCAACAAGTTGTCTTAGAGTGAGAGTACAAGGACATCATCTAGAGCAGCCAAGGACTATTTTTGACAATGGCTAATTCCAGTTGTTCATGGGCAGCTGCAAAGTGCTGAGAAATATACAGGGAGAGACACTTTGCAGTGGTCAAACAAAAACATCCAGATATATCAGTCACCAACAGAGCAGTCCCCCACAGTAAGAAGCAATCCCACTTACACTGGCATGGCAGACATTTAAATACCAGTAGCCTGCCTCTTGGGGAGCTTTGCACCATCTGAGCATCTCAAACCCAATTTTAAATGTTTTCTTTTTTTCCGTGTTTCCCCAGAGCCTCTGTAACCAGCCACGCAGACCTCACCTCTCTGAGTTCAGCCAGTTCCTTCTCCAGGTGGAAAATCTGAAACATGCTCAGCCCCACTCCAGTGAGGGCCAGCAGGATCAGCAAGAAGATCACCAGGAAGCTGACGCTCCTCCTTTCTCTGTTGATCGTTGGCTTTGTCCTCCGGTCAGGTACTGGTGGTGGGAACGGAGAGACGGGGGATGCTGGGGGGCAGGAAGCACTTGGATTGGCACAGCCGTCTACCCAAAAGATCTGGGGGTACACATAATTCAAGTTCTGCTGCATGGCTGGGATCGGGACAGGCTGGACATGCTTGGCATGATCTTCCATGTGGCAGCCAAAAACTGCCGGGGCTGTCCCAGACTGAGCCCTGGGGGAAGACCCAGCTCTGCCTTTATACGCCTGCATCGCTCCAGCAATGAACACTCAGCTCAGATGCTGCAACTCTATGAAAGCCTCAAGCATCAACAGCAAACCCCAAAGAGTTTCCGCTCTCAGCTGCAAGTTCGGGGCACCCACCTGCTCCTCCCACACTGAGGCAGCGTGCACGCACACCGTGCTCACAACAGAACTGGGCTTGGGAAGCCTGTGCACTCAGCAGCGAAGCGCTTGTGGGGTGCACGTGAGGGCTGCGCTGCCAGTCGGGGGCAGAGTATTGAGCCCGGCACATAACCCACCAGCCAGCCACCCTTTCCAGCAGCCCACGTGGGCACAGGCTTTTCCACTGCAGCGTCCTGGACCACAAGCAGAGCAAAAGGAATGACAAAACCTCTGGCATCCTGCGCAAGAGGGGAGAGGCAGAGCTGGTGACTCCTCCCCTTGGCAGAAGGATGAAGACCTGATCTGAAGTGCAGGGGTGGGTGCTGGGGAATTGCTTCATTTCACACAGGGCAAAATTACTCCCGCCTTTTCCTTGGCTGCTCCATAGGGCATCGATCCCAAGTCGCAGAACACCGGTCACAGACACTGTCCCACTGTAATAAAATACAGCTTCACTGAGAAGAGGCGAGGCTGCCAGTGCTGCAGCCTCAGCAGAGCTGCCCCAGCATTAACAGCCCAAGTGAGGCCAGCTCAGAGGGCTGCCTTTACCCACACCAAATCCCTGTGGGTGCTAGCCCAGCTGAACCAGCCACGTGCTGTAACATAGGAAACACACAGTGCCTTGGGGCACAAGGTGGCTCTTCTGGCAGCTTCTGCTGCTCCTCTTACCTTTGCAAATACTATTGGCAATCCCACAGTCACCTCTAAGGCTTCTCCATGTTAGAAGAGAAGGGCTTTTTCATTATCTCTTCAGGTCAGTGCTGAGCACTGCAGCAGGACCTAACCTGCCCGAGAAACTTGTGATTAAATCCTAAGGTAGGCACTGTGCTACTCATCTTGGTAGATTTTCTCTTGCCTTCCAAGAAAGGATTCAGAATTCAAGCCATGCTGCAAAGACCAGCATTTACAAGAGCTCATTACAAAATCATAATGAGGAGAGACAGGGACATTTTCACTCCTCAATTTCCAATTTCTCAATTTCCATTCCTCATTGACCTCAGATCTCTAAGCGGTGGCAATAAGACTTTCCCACAAATTTATGGGTACACACAAGCAATTATAAACAGCAACTTGCTCTTCCATTTTACAGACCTACATTGAAGTGTGCAGTTGTATGGGGTACAGTTTAAAAAAGGAAATGCTTAATACACAAACGAACTGGAGATCTGTCTCCTCTGTGGCTGAAGGAAGCGATCCCAACATGCAGGCTTTGATCTTGAACATCAAAACTAGGGTCTGAGAACAGAACAAGGGCTCAGCTTTACCTCCAACCGCACCAGTAAATCAGATGTGTTCTCAAAGCCTTCTCTGCACCACCAGACACCCTACTGCTTTTTGAAGATGTTCACCACAGTTGTTTGCTGCAGCAGTGATCCGCAGCACGAGAGGTTTCAGCAACCCGTCTGGCTCTTTTCTCGTACTTCTAGGTTTCTGTCATAGAAGACACAAAAGCAACATAAATCCAACTCCAGCAGTTCAAGCCTGGTCGTGCCTACCCTCACCCAGCACGGCGCTCCTCACCCAGCCTGGAGATGGGTCTGCATCTACTCCTACAAACACTACAAGAGACGCTCACACAACGGGCTGGGCTCAGCTCCGCATCTCCCATGCCACGTGCTGAACTCCAGCTTGCTCGCCAGGGCTGGGCATGGAGAAAGAGAGGTGCCTCCAAGGCACAGGGAGCCAAGAGAGGCAGCAGGGTGGTTGGGCAAGCATCTCCAGCCAGCACACTCCCCACCACCCCAGGCCTGCTGCTGGGGCTCAGCAGTCAGCACCTGCACTCCCTTGCTCTCAGAGGGGTGAGCACAATGTGCCTCTGGCTCTCTGCAAGACAGACATGGGTGTCAGGGTGTATCCATCTCTTTAATGTCCTCTGTGGCCCATTCAACTGCTGTAAAATACAACGATGGCTCAGGGAGCAGGGACTGAGGCCCGGGGCTTCCTCAAAGTTGTAGGCATTGCTGACAAGCATGTCAAAAGTCATCAAGCACACAGCTTTGCCTGGAGAGGATCCGCTCTCAAGATTTTTCTGACAGTTTAATGCAGACAGCTTATTCTTGGTGGGATTGCAGGCACAGTGGCAGTCTCCCTTAAATGTCAGAAATGTACTTATTTCTCACCCACTGCTTCCTATTTTCATAAAGATTTTTTTTTTTGTTTTTTTTTTTTAATGGGTAGGTGAGAGAGCAGAGACAATGAAACCAATGAAAGCCATTTCAGCCATGTCTGTTGCATCTTCCCTTTCGGATGCTCAGATCAAGAGCCTGCTAATATCACATGTGGCAAGCCAAAGATGGGGCTATTTCACCATCAAAGGATCGGTTTTGGTGCACAGCATACTTTCAGAGACCTCTCCCTTCCTAGCACACTCTACTGTGCTGGTGCCTGCTGTCACACTGTCACCACCTTCAGAGATCACCAAGATGATATGTGCTATAAGACAGTGGCAAGCAGGGCTGTGTCTCTAGCGCACCAGGATGCCTGCAGGCTCTGCTTTCTGCTGGCTTCCTATTGCCCAAGCGACACCCCGTATTAACAAGGCTTTTGAAATAATAGTGGGACAATTTGCTGTAGGTAAACACTTAAGCCACATGAATCTATTTTGCTAGAAGGCCCAGAGCCAGAATTTAGACAAGGTTGAGCTCTCCTAAAATATGGGGCAAGGACAGCTGGGCAGGAGGAAGGGTGAACATATGAAGGACAAAAGGGGTCTCAGATTTGTTTATCTGCCTCCCCCATCCCTCTCTTCACCCAGCCTGCAAGATGCACACTGTTTTCAGCAGCCGTATAATGTCACTTGAACAGAAGGGAATATTTCCAAATGGAAACACCTTCTATGCCCTTTAACAGAGAATCCATCCCCTTTGCCAAAAACAAGACAAACCAGTTACGCAGATAAAGAGGATTTGCTCAGAATCCCCTCTATCCCCATTTGACCCCAAAGGAGTGTATCGTATTAACAGTACATACTATTATGCTAAAGTATGTTGACAGCAAAGAGAATTACCCAGCAGTTAAAAGTTTGTATCAGCAGATTTAAGGACAAAAGGCTGACCTGCTTGAAATACACCAAAGAAAGTAGGAATTAAACAATGATCCAGACATAGTATTTGATAGAAAATAAAATAATAATAAAAAAAACCCAACATAAGTGTCAACCATTGTGTAGGAGAGGCTCTCACCAGGTTCTGAACAGTCAGATACGTGTCTGTCTGAAAGTGATTAACAATTATTTCCTATTACACTAATGACTAGTGGAAATGCTAAAAAGCAGCAATTGAAAGACCACAGGGCTGCACAAGTTACACCCAAGAACAACTGAAAAAGATGTTCAGAGTCATTCACATTCAAAAAACAGGACTCAAAGCATTAACCCGAGACATTAACGGCCTCAGCAACCTTTTGCAGTTCCAGGTTAAACTGTGCCGTCAGAACCAGGAGAGGCAATTATTGCAAACCCAGCAGGGACCAGCCACAGCTGGCGGAAGAGATGAGAAAGGTGGAAAGAGTAACTGAGAGCACCATCCAGGACAAGGATTTTTCTACCAGGATTGCCCTCAACACAGCGCTGTTTCAACACCTTTACCACAGATCTGGAGTTCTGAAAGGGAGAAGCTACTCAGATGGACACAAGCTTCCAGCAGGGAAAGCCCAGGGGCTCCTGTAGGTATGAGCTCACGTATAGCACTAGACAGCTACAGACAGTCCCAGGAACCACACTGCAAGTTCATGTTCAACTTCAGAGGGGCCCAGGAAGAAGTTGTAGTAACTGCCAGACAGCAAAAGCATTCAACTTGGTCCATTCAAGAGCAGATTGGCGGGGAGGGGTGGACAGTGTTTGAAAAACTTGTATAAAGAAGGATGACTTCCAGCAGCAGAGGGCTCTTAAATCTCACAGACAAAACCTGGAACCAAAGCTGAAGGAGTCTGTGCAAAAGACACGGACTTTTGAGTGAACATTGGAATGGAACCTCGTGACAACTGCCTCCAAAGGCAGCAGGATCTCCATCCACTGAAGCCTTTGAGGTGCATGGAAAACACCAGAACTCACCCAGCAGTTAGCACTGACATCTTAGAGTCATTTCTTTATTACATGTTTTTTAACAGTTCAGTTTTCAAGACAAGGGTGATGCTTTCCATTTCCTCAACAACCGTCCTCTTTGCTAGAAGCATTTGTGGCACATGTCTTGGTGCCAACAACTCACAAGGGAAATGTTCACATAGTCACACTCAAGAGCAGGTTTCAGAATCTATTTCTACCAGCTCTGGCCTGGCATTGCAGTACTTAACGTGGCCCTCTTGCAGTGAGCACAGTGCTTTCTTCTCTCCTTCACCCTGATCACAACAAGCAGGCAGCAGCCCGGGCTTCAGCAGAAATGTTACAGGACTCTGACCTGAGGCAGGAGAGAATCCAAACAGGGAAGGAGCCAAAGCAGCTGAGAATAAGAATTGAAAGCAGCAGAGTGAGATTTTATTCCTTTTGTGCCTGCAATAAGAGCAAGGAAATGAGGTATAGTGGTTATGAGGTAAGGGGATCTATTGCCTGAACCTCCGAGAAAGGGAGAAGCAGGTCATTTCATAACATACGATCGCTTACTCATGGAAGAAAATGGAACAAGGTGGTGTGGCCACTCAGAGGTTGTGAGGAAGACCACAGCCAATGTGCAGATGTTGATTTCCCATCCTCCCCAGGGACGGTCGAGAATTGCATTCACAGCCCTTTGGCAGGATCTGTGCCGTCCCAGGCTGCCAGCACAAAGCAATGCCTTGGCCCTGGAGAACGCCAGCTGGCTCTGCTGGCCAGCGTGGCCTCGACACTATTTGACAATTTTATTCCTTCTTGGGAGCAGCTGTTCTCAGCCCATAAAAAACCCCAACAAATCAAAACCAAACGATCCCATGCCTCCAGTCTTCCCCTGAGATCTCCCTTGGGATCCCTGCTGAGCTCCACTAGGATCACACCTCAGCTCTGGGTCACTGAGCCAAATCAGGCCCTTGGGCACCAGTTCAGCATACAGACAGCACAACAGCTGATGTGCCCATCTCATTCACTAGTGACCCACATCAGCCAACTTCCCAAAACCCCAAGGGACCTTCAGCTGACTTTCCTAGGATTTAACTTCAAGCTACAGGTAGTTTCACAGGCCATGTACACAACCTTGACATTTCAGCATTAACTGTGTCAAATGACTAATAGAAGACATTCATTAGCTGCTTCCAAGTTATTTTTCTGGGGAAGAAAAAAAAACCAAAACAAAACATCACAGACAAGGATTTTTATTTGCAGTGAGTTCAAAGGACCCAGCAGCTGGATGTAGGCTGTAGCCACCACATCTGACAAAAGATAAAACAAGCCTCAAGATGTGGCAAACACTTCTTTTCCATTTCTAGGTCCAGAAAGTACAGAGTTAACTTCATCTCCATTCCCTACCACATGCCATACGGGCAAGCCCAGTTGCAGCTCCCAGGCCACATGTCCAGTAGCAGACAACAGCAAGGCTTCTCAGCAGCTTCTTTTAAAATTACTATTCTTAAATTAGAGAAGGGATACGTAAGAAAGATTCCTGAGTTTCGCCATCCTTTCCGAAGCTAACACATTTTATCGAAGCAAGTTCTGGGAACACTAATTCTTCCCGAGCGGTTACAAGCCCCAGTCATGCCTTCAGCAGTACCTGATGCTGTGTGACAGTCAGGGTTTCCAGGAGATGAGCCACACACTGCTCGATGGCCTACCCACAGCACTTTGTGGTCAGGGCTCCACACTTGAATTGTTCCAAGTGAAGTGGAACATGTTTGTACCTAATTAAGCAAAGCATGCTAAGCTGTTCCATCTTGTTTCATCTCACACTAACCTGGGAAAAGCAGAAGCCACACAGACACCTCACACTTGAGTTCTCTACTTACCAATACTACACAGCTACTAGAGTTTGCATATTTTAAAAATACTGTATTTCCACTCTGATGCTTAGCATATATAACCTAAATATCTTATTTGGGCAAACATGGTTAGTAATTCACTTCTACAATGTGCATGTTTGTGATTATCCATCCTCCTATGGAAACCATCATGTTGCTTAAGTATTTTTTGACCTTGGGCTCAAGACCTGCCCAAGGACTGCAGGGATGAAGCCTGCATACGCATACCAGCTCCTTGGTATTTTACACCGACAACTGTCCAACCTCACTATGCAATATCACAAGATGAACTAGGCCCTCCTTTTAATTATCCACACCACTGCAGGAATTTGTCAAGATTTAAGCTGTCCCTTAGGAACTATTATCTCTATATAAAGATTATGGCCAATTTAAGAGGGACTTGATTTCACCAAAGAATCAAGTTTTGAAAGCTAGAGTCAGTATGACATTAATAAAACTGGAAGTAAAAAATGACTCAGAAGCCCACATGAAAGGAAAACATTAAGCAATAAGAACTTGACATTAAGAGCCTTTCTTCAAAAAAAAAAAAAAAAAAACAAACCCAAAAAGTGGTTACAAATAATTAAAAGCAGCAAGGCAGCAGCAGGCGGAAGCTGTGGTTCAATCTCCAGTCTACTGCCAGAACAAACACACTCAAGTCTCCAATAGCACAGTCAGCTCTGCAGGTTCCTTCAGATGTCGGCTTTCTCAGCAGCTGAAGCATAACCTGTGCTTTGATTGGAAAGTTCAGACCTAGACATGGTTGAAACAGCCAACGTACCTAGAATATGAAAGTCACTCCTCAGCTGCCCTGCCTCAGCAGTGACTCTACAATAGATGTGCTTTCTTCACATCAGACATTGCTGCCAACAGCCATCCCCACTGACCCAGCACAAAAAACCACTGGACTGACATTTTTCACCATATGACCTAAGTTTCTGTTTGCCAGGTATTTAAAATACTAGAAAAGTCTGTACTGTGTGCAGTGCCTTTGATCCCCATCACACCAGCTCTGGTTGACTCAGAGCCCAGAGGCAGCATTTCTTAGGAACAGAAAGTAGCTGTCAGGGAAGTAAACCCACACAGCCCATGACATCATCTATTCTTGACATTGATTTTGGGGTTCACTTTCAGAAGCAGGAATACTGCGAGGTGTTCTCAAAACAGTCTTGAAATGTGGGAGCCTGAGTGAGAAGTTTCTGGCCATGTGTTATCTACCACTTAGGGCATCTGCCGCATCTCCAGTGACAACTGGAAGCCATGTGGCCTCAAGCCATATTCTCACCACAGAGCTTTGCTCTGTCCATTTAGGATGTGCATTATTCCCATGGTATGTTTCCTATGCATTCATTACGTGACAAGCTTTATTGCTGATATTTTTCTACAGAATGCAGCAACTCCTTACATCTAAGACATGCCCAATTTTTAGAAAATATAGAGTGAGCAGGATATTAAAGGACTGTTTTTAGAAGGCATTTGGTTTCACATCTGAAATTGTTTACTTGGAAATTTGAATATGTGCTTGGATTTTAAATATGCACAACCTACCCAGACTTACCAACACTGAAGGTATGAAACAGATCATATCAGCAAAAAGGGATTTCAGTTCGGGGCTAAGTATCACCTTCCGAAGAAAGAAGGGGGATGCATACATAAACACTTTTAAACAATACACACCTCTTGTGTGAGGAAGCACCAAGGAGTGCTGCTAATCCTTCAACTGTAATTTCCAAGTGATCTCCAAGGATTGCTCACCAGTGCTGTGGGGATATCCACTCTAGGAAGCAAATGTACACAGGACAATGTAAGCAGTTGTTGTCCATTACAGCAAAACAGAAGAGGATGAGGAGGAAAGTTTCTGGCCATCCACAGAACTGCTGCTTCAGGGAAAGGCAACTCTCCTTGCCCCAAAGCTGTATGCTCACACTGTATAGTTGATAAAATATATATCTCACCACCACCATTTTTGATTTAACTTTAGTTTCACAAACGAATTTTCTTTCATCCAACGCTTACAGGCCAGCCAGAACAAAGGAAAAATAAACCCCAGTTAGAGACACATTTGTTGCATGCATGTTGTGTCACACCACCTTTGGCCCCATTCTACACCTAACAGCATATTCAAGGCCTGTCAGTCTTTGGTTTATAGCCAAATAGTGAGGATGGACTCTCAAGAATTCAGTTATGTCCAGCTTCAGCTGATTCTTACTGATAAGAACAGCTCGGTGATTGCGAGGGCAGTAAAGGAAAGCACACTTCCCACAGGCAAGGTATCAGGAAGAAGGCCAGTAAATAAAAAACCTCACCCCACAAAAAAACCCAGCCACACTCTCCCCCAGCAAACCCCACATTCAATTGCTTTTTAAATCATAGCACAATGGTGAAGCAGAGTCTTGAGACACTCAAGCAAGAAATTAGTGCTGGGGAGATCTCATTTGACAATGAGATGCTGGACAGCCAGTGAACTTGGCATTTGGCTGCACACAGTGCTGCTACACTTGCTACAAATAATTTACAGAGGAATTGACCAGTAAGGGGCAAACATCAACCTGAAAACTCTGGTTTGAAATGATAAATGATTATCTAACATTTTCTTTTAATGGCCTTTTATATCCTTCACAAACTTTAGCTCTGAGTACCAAGAGGTAATTTCAAGCAGTCATTCTCACAAAAAGGTACCACTTCTAAGGATCCCCCAGGTCAAGACAAACTGACACCTGCTGGAAACTTCTAGCAGTTTTACAAGGCCACAATTTCTGAACTGTCAGGCAAAACATCACTCAAGCTTCAGCTTTCTTCTCTACCACTCCCCCTTTTCTTTTTTTAAATTAACACATCAAGGCTGACAAATAAGTTTATGAACTCATTATTATGGCCCAAAGGACCCCAATCCTAGTCCTGGACTGAAATTTAAAGACGAGTCCTTCTCAGAATTTAAGCCATGAGTTTCATTTTCAAAGAAAAAATGCCAGTAAATTAAAGACAAAGTGTTCAGATTTA